GGGGCTGTTTGATTGGGCGTTCGTGTTAATTAGAAGTACCAGGCGCGGGTCATAACAATGTCCCTCCTTTTATCCTTTTTCCCAGGATTTTTCGTTTCATCTTGAAGTTTGCCATTTTTTGTTAGTGTTTTGCTCTGTTTGTTTGTCTGGAAAGGCAACTTTTTTTATTCTTGCCAAACCTTTCTGTTCGTCGTTGTCAGGCCACCTATCCCGCGGTGTCCGGTAGCCCAGACTTCAGACCCCCCTGGCCCCAACCAGTGTACGGAGCCCCCGAATCAGCTGATGGCGGTAGTGGCTTCTACCCAAAGGAGGGTGTTGGCTCTCCCGCGGATGGCTACGCTAACTTGCCAGTGGATGATGAAGAACGACGTTTAGACCCAGCTGCTGCTGCTGCTGCCGGCGCACAAACCGTACCACCCAGTGGCCCGGCCTATCAGCACCCTCTGGTCAGCGGTATGGATCAGAGAGCTGGCAACTCCGGCTCTCCTAGTGTGGTTGGTGGTAATCCCTACCCGACTGACGATGAGGATTATAACCGCCGTTACGATGGAGGTGACGCTGTGCAGGTTCGTTGACTCGCATCTAGCGCATTGGTTTATTAGCATTCATACACGTTATTACCTTTATGAAAATGAACTCTAAGGAAAAGTGCACGCCATCCGTTTTGTGGAGTACAACTATCTGCCCTTTCGGCCTTTTCGTCTCATGAAGCTGCAGTAATCGGTCCTAAAACGTTAGTAACCCAATTTGAGTATTTGAAACCTGTTTTCGCCTCTGCTTCTCTCCGCAAAGCCTTAGTCTGTTAATGTGCATGTACTGTAACATCTGCAGAATTGTCCCAGTTCATATCTCATAGTCCAACGACGAGCGGGGGAACCAGCGTTTAAAATTTACGCCTCAAAGTTTCAACTTTCCCAAAGAAGCTCTTCCCTTCTTTATTAGAATTAGGTATCTGTGTAAAGTATGTGACTGAAATGTACAAAAGATAGTTAATTTCTCGCATACCGGCATCAGCAAATAAGGCAGAGCTTTGAACTAATAATAAAGGTCTATGAGCGAATTTGAAGCATAAATGAAATGCAAAAAATTAATATTACTTTGTTTAGAAATAGGATTTTTCTAAAAACTGAAAATTCTGAAAACGTCAAAAGTTACTTTACCTTGAGTTTTTAATGTACATAAAGCCAGTTTGTGCGAAAAAAAACGAATAAATCAATCAGCACACTAAAATAACTTTTTTTAAAATAATTATTTGGTCAAGTTCGCACTTATACGTCCTTCAAGGATAAGTGCAATATCCTTTATGGCTCCTGGCAAACAGCTTACAGTCTGAAGGTATATTCCGACACGTTTTCAGGAGGATTACATACTTTTTGGGACATCAAATCACATTTTTTTAATCTAAATTGTTTAAACTGATTAAAGGTCTGGGTTTCTAAAATTACCTTCCTTTCTTGTACTTGCTTCATTTGATTTACGTGAAGAAAAAATGATAATTTCAGTCCGATAAGTTCCATGTTGCACAACTCACGAGCTTAATCCAGCTCACCTCATTTTTATTAAGGGAAAGATACGTTAACGCCTTTAAACTCCTTGCCGGTTACAAAGTGTTTAAGAAAAAGCATCGGTACATAGGGAAGGCTGAGAATGGGGCAGGTTACATAGTCGGCCCGCGAAAAGCAAGCAACCGCAGCTATCCAAAGAAGAATAAATACAAACGTCTACTCATGTATTGCAAGTAGCAAGAGCACATGCAATTACAGTAACCGTTTACCTGTTTTCGTATTTGGCTGT